CTATTCAGGACTACGTTCACCCGGACGATCAAATTCAACCTACTTTTGAAATGACTCCTGGGTTCAAACCTTTCACAGACGTTGTTTTATTTTTCTTATCGGCGAGCACGCGAGAAAGAAAAATAAAATATCTTCTTCTTTCCACGCCACTACCCCCTTGCGCTGCCCGTCAATAAATCCCCTGCAGTTTATATTTTATCACCCGCGCTCGACGGACTTTGAAGAGAAAATAGAGGGTCTGTGAACAGGCTACGTTTTTGATAGCCCTTCACTTCCCAGGAAAAAGGTGAATAAGATCCATTGTGATGAGTTAACTAACAGGACACAGCTCAATTGTTATCATGAGTTAGAGCTTTGACCCTAACCTTTCCTCTCAAAAATTAGTTAAAAGTGCAACTGCTTTCAAGAAATAGTTAAAAAAATTTCTCGCTAAAGACTGGTTTTTATGCTATGGAGCTATTGACAGCCCCGTCTGGATATTTAACTCACATGGATGCTGACGGTTCGATGCTCTCATTAAGGTATTATGAAGGGCTGATCGCCCCACGTAAGAGAATTTAAAACAGACTTGGATCCTGGATTCCACGTCGTGGTTTCCAGATTCCAGGTACTGGATTCCAGTCTTTGTCAGTAGAACTTGGATTCTTGATTCCACTCAGTTGTGAGAATCCAGAGAGCTGTATTGCCGATTCCAAAGGCCAGGATTCCGGATTCTACAAGCAAAAATTTCCCTGATTCTGGAATCCAGATTCCTTTACATTTGGGGGTGACGATAACTTTTCAGGGGCGGATCCAGGAATTTTTGATTAGGGGTGGAGAGGGGTGGGGTCCAAACTTTGGTTTAGAAAGGACTCGTTGCGCTTTTTTGTGGCAAATTGCCGTATTTGTTCGATTAACCACCCTGGGCGCTTATTAAATGTTTGGATCTGCAAGTGGGCGCTTATTCTCGGTGGGTGCTTATTAACCTTTTCTGCCTTTAGGATGGGCGCTTATTCGAGGTGGGCGCTAATTTGAGGTTGGGCGCCTATTCGAATAAATACGGTACTTCTCCCCACAACCCCCACACCCCCTCTCGATCTCACCAGTCGCGGTTGCACGATAAAACTCCTTGACCCCTTACCGGATACTTGAATTCTACTCGCAAAGGATGCACCCTTGGAACATTCTCCTCTTGTGCTTGGTAACAAAGATTGTACAGATTTGGTCAACATCAATGTCAAGGTCATGATGTAAGTGTATGAGTGCAAGTCCTGACAACCGCTTATCCGACATCCTATTTCTGAGATATGACTTGATTCGTCGCAAGCCAGAGAATGAACGCTCAGCTTAGGCAGAACTAACAGGAAGGGTACAACCAATTGTTAGCAAAACTCGTATGTTGGGATACATATCCTCCTCAGCAGATATTACACACTCTATTAGATTTTTAGCTGTAAAGTGGGAGTGCACCAAAAGTATTGCCATTCCTTTAACTCAGAAGGAAGAGAGGACGGTGTAGGTAAGTCCTGTTGCCAAAATTGCAGCTTTCTTCTAAATTACGAAGACTGTCATGCTTCACCAAAGCAGATGGAACCAAGGCAAGCATTTCGGCTCCAGCCCTGTTGTCTTCGCTGCATCTTGAACCCATAATCTTCTAATAAATGATTATTCAATATCCCTGGAATTTAGTTTAGTGGCAAAATGCAACGCGCGTTTCATTAAAAAACATCAGCCAGTGTAAAACTGTGATATACGATCCCGCCGATGTAAGAATTTCAGTCGCAAACAAGCGTCAGGCCTGATAGGGTGGGTCCGGACCCCCGGACCCTCCCCCAGGATCCGCCACAGCTTTTTGTAAAGCATTCGAGAAAATGAATAATAAACTGAAAGTGCGGGGTCAAATTTTACACTTTTAGAGTGTTACAAGAGAATGAAATGGGCTTTGCAATTCAGTCAGTTTGCTGTGCTATATGTGATCAATGTATGTGAAATGTCAGTGGCTGCAGTCGAATAGAGAGCTCACCAGAATTTTTAAAAAGCATGAAAAATGTTGGTAAAACAATTAAAGGGTGTAATTGTTTGGCTAGTTTCTTAGCTTTGACGATCCCACGGTCTGTTGTACGACACAAAAACGGGTCGAATTTAAATTTACTTTTTGAAAGGACACCAGCTGAAAAATTCAACCAAAAATAGCATAGCTATAAAGTAGGCATCATATAGTATAACCGATCGAATCTAACGGATTGCGATTTTAGAATATTATGTGCATGAATTTATGAAAGTCTTTCAAACACACCATGATAAATTTAAATGAGCTAATTCAAATCTCTTTTTTAAGCCAAATCGACCTGAACGACTATTAGGTATAGTCTCGCAACATCAGTCATTTATTTTATAAAATAACATGAATCATTCTTGAATTTTTAGGTACTGTATTTTTGCGATTTACAACAACAACAACAACAACTTTATTCTTTGTACAGAAGCAAAGGCACCCGCAAATTAAAAGACTCAGTCGAGTTTGAAAATGCCAAAAATAACTCGTTCCGCCAGCTGTGCGATGGAGATTGACTGTCAAGGTCTAGTGAACAGCATTTAAGTTTCAGAAGGGAGGACGACCGCTTGTGTTTATCTTCGCTAGAGTTGATTATCATGTACATAAAGGTACAGCTTGCTTGATCATTGCATTAAGACGTTACATATCTGAAGGACCCCGCCAAAAATAAAGGTAAGCTTTGTTACCATGATCAATGAGCACCCAAGGCTACAAGAAATGTTTTCCTCTTTGGATCCTTGATCTTGAAGAACTACACAAAGACCATGAGTGTTTAACCCGAAAACGCGCTTAACCCTAATCCGAAGCGAGTCGGCTCAACCATAGTCAATAAAATAAGCGCTTAACCCTAATCAATGAAAGTCGACCAATACTACGTAATTCTGCAAATATTCCAGCAGCAAAACGTCACATACCCATAGGGAACGAAGCAGGAAACATTTTTTCTGCGTTTACAATTTCATAAAACTATTTCTTTTTTCCATGGCTCGCAGACCAAGCGATCAACATTGCTTGAATCTGCGACTTAAATGTATTGTGGTCTTTACCTATCCATATTATATGAAAAGGGAAAACGTCGAAATGGCCCTTCTCAATAATGAATAATTATAAACGATGACTCCTGTGATGTTGGTTGTAATCAGTTAGCCATGAACAAGACAAAGTTTAGCTGTTATCATTGAAGCATTGCCCCTACCTCCCCCCTTGTTAATAAGTAAACAGTACAACTTCTTACAAGAAATTGTTCTCAACATTCTCGCCTAAAAGAATGACGTTTATACCACTGAGCCAACGAGCTTGTTTATTAAGCTCACACGGATCATCGATTCGGTGCCCTTATTAGTTATAATTAAGGACCAACGGCACGCAATTCTATGCCCTTAGGGTTAATCAATAATATATACCGCCTTGTCGGGGGAGGGGGGCGTGGTCAGAGGATTTTGAAGAGGGGAGGAAGGGGATGCCATTTTTTTTTTAAATTGCTGCCGAAAAGATTAACTATTTGTAACATCATTGATTAACTATTACACAAGTGGCGACACTTATTTCTAAGTTCAACTCATTGAAAAGTTAGTTCCAAAAATGTTCAAAAACATTAAATTAATGTTAATGATGAGAAGTAACTACACAAATAACAATGTGGGTTGTTTTATTCTAATTATATCAAAACAGCATTATTATAATCACCATCATTATCAAAACCAACCCAGCTTTCTAATTTTTCAAACCTTAAAGCTCGCATTCAATTCGGAATTTGTCAGAACACCTTGACAAAAAACATGTTATGGTTCGGATTCGACTATTTTCTTTTGTGTCAAACTTGTTTTTATAGTCCTTAAAACTCCCAGCAAAAGGTGAGTAAGATCAATTGTGATCAGTTAACGAATACAGATCAACTGTCATCATTTAGAGCTTTGTCCCTACCTTTTCCCTGGTAAATTGGTGTAAAAGTACACATGCTTTCAAAAAATAGTAGAGACCTATAGATTCTAAGACGACGAGGAGGACTACGACAACGAGATTTTCTCGATACTAAGTAGTGCTCGCCCGTGAGCCAGCGTCATTTTGGCGGGAAAACACGTCATAGCCATCGTCATTCTACTACAGATTTAGCGAAAATGTTGTAGCGACGAAAACAAGTTATAAATCATTCGAAGCTTTCTCATTTTGCAGTCGGGAGAGGGCTTAACATTCTCCAATAAAAATAACCTTGTTAGCTTTTCTGGTGAAAAAAAAAGGAAAAAAAAACAGAATGAAGCTTTCAGGGGAACCTATTTTTTGAAAAGACGCGAAAAAAACTTGGTTAAATCTCGCCTCAAATCTAAAGGTATCTACTTAAAAAAGATAATAACAAATGACATTCTCGCTAACGAATGGTTTTTCTACTATAATATGGAGCCAACAAGCCTCTGGATATTCAGCTCACACACGTTGATGATCGGTTCGGTGCTTTCGTTAAGGTATCATTAAAGCTGATGACACGCAATAACTAAAAGCATTCGAAAAAAAGAATAATAAACTGAAGCCGTGCAGGCTAACAGTTTACACTCTGGCGTTTAGAGCGTTAGAACAGAATTTTGTGCAATTGTTAGTTTGCTGAGCGATAAGTAAAGTCCGTGGCTCACCAGAATTTTGATTGCTAATTATATTTAAAGCATATAACAAAGTTTGAAGAAACAATGCATGAAAGGATTTAATTGCTTGGTTAGTTTCTTCGTTTTGACTCAAATTGAGCCCGCAGCAAGATCTTAACAATCCCCCTCCCTCTTGCATTGTTTTATGTAATATGTGAAAAACTCGGGCCTCGCACTTCATCACGGGTTCCAAAAACAAGCAACAGATGAAAGCACGTAGGCCTCGTGCTTTTATCTGTTTCGAAGGTTCATTAAAGGAAGAAACCTTGCCGTACAGATCAAATCAAACGGGTTGCGATTTTAGTATATTGATTAGTATACTAAAATCGCAA